ACTTCTTCTTCTTCTTTATACTTGAAGGTGATGTGTCTGAGCAGGTGCAACCTTAATATCTTGATGAGTGGTCAGTTATGTTGCAGTGATGGCTGGATTAGATATTAACCATGGCCTAAATCACTTTGTGCTGACAGATTTCGAGTGTGATAATCCCAGGTGTGGCTTTAAAAGTGCGAGTGAGGCCCCGGGAGCCCTTCTGTAGGTCCCTCTCCATCTCTATCTCCAGCCAAAGATCCACCAGAGAAGGGCTGAACACAACAAACCGCAACCATGAACGGCACGGAGGGACCCTTTTTCTATATCCCTATGCTCAACACCACCGGTGTTGTCCGGAGTCCATATGAATACCCTCAGTACTACCTAGTCAACCCTGCGGCCTACGCTGCCCTGGGCGCCTACATGTTCTTCCTTATCCTGACGGGCTTCCCTATCAACTTCCTCACACTCTACGTCACCCTCGAACACAAGAAGCTGCGGACCCCTCTAAACTATATTCTGCTCAACCTGGCGGTAGCTGACCTCTTCATGGTGTTTGGAGGATTCACCACAACGATGTATACCTCAATGCACGGCTACTTTGTTCTCGGACGCCTCGGCTGCAACGTGGAAGGGTTTTTTGCCACTCTGGGCGGTGAGATCGCCCTGTGGTCTCTGGTGGTCCTGGCTATTGAGAGGTGGGTGGTCGTCTGCAAACCCATCAGCAACTTCCGCTTCACTGAGAACCACGCCATCATGGGGGTGGGCTTCTCCTGGATCATGGCCGCTACCTGTGCTGTGCCGCCTCTGGTCGGCTGGTCCCGGTACATTCCCGAGGGCATGCAGTGCTCATGTGGAGTCGACTACTACACCCGCGCTGAGGGCTTCAACAACGAGTCTTTTGTTGTCTACATGTTCATTGTTCACTTCCTAATTCCCCTCGTCGTGATTTTCTTCTGCTATGGCCGCCTGCTGTGCGCCGTCAAAGAAGCTGCTGCTGCCCAGCAGGAGTCCGAGACCACCCAGAGAGCTGAGCGCGAGGTCACACGCATGGTCATCATCATGGTCATTGGCTACCTGGTATCTTGGTTGCCCTACGCCAGTGTGGCCTGGTACATCTTCACTCACCAGGGCGCAGAGTTTGGGCCCCTCTTCATGACCATCCCCGCTTTCTTTGCCAAGAGCTCCGCTCTCTACAACCCCCTGATCTACATCTGCATGAACAAGCAGTTCCGTCACTGCATGATCACCACGTTGTGCTGCGGAAAGAACCCTTTCGAAGAGGAGGAGGGCGCCTCCACCACCAAGACCGAGGCCTCCTCAGTCTCCTCCAGCTCCGTGTCTCCAGCGTAAGACAAGATCGACACTCACCACGACACACGCCCCACGAAGACGACTCCCCTGGGAAAGCACAAAAGTCTAATAACTTCCATTTTTGTATTTTCACAAATGAGCTGGTTCAACCCAAAGACAGTACCAGGAAAGGTCCATCCTTAACAGAGTTGTTCTTGTATGTACAGATATCCAACTTTACTATCTGAGATTTTGTCCTGAAAGAAAGAGGAGAAATCGATCACAGTTGGATCCTAAATGTTACTGGCTTATTGTGATTAATTTTAGAGGCATGTAATCAAGGCAATGTAAAATAAAAGGCACTTTGCAAATGGCAAATCCTTTCTATGTTTGGCTTTTTGTTTGGGGTGGGGTTACCAATGACTATAGAAATATTTAATCATATCAATAAATGTGAATGACTCAGAATGCATTTATGTCTGGAGTCACTTTATTCTCATCAGTCACCACTCATATGCACATTTATGGTTTAGTGGGGCAGTTTTCAACCCTGGGTCACCTTGGCCTTGAGGATTATTTCATTAGGAGCGATTATACAAATGATAGGAGGAGAATCTGAAGAAGCTTGATTAGTAATAGGATTATTGTATTACACATCTGAACGTTACCAAGGTCACATGGAAGATGTTTACAGCTTTCACTCACTGAACACGCCGATGGATTTGAGATTAAATAAAGTATAGATGAACTCGTTTGACAAAAGGTGATTGTAATCTGGGCCTTGAGTAAAACTAAAGAAGATACATTTGAGAGTTTTGAGAAAGCGTAAGAGAGAAAAGCAGAGGAACAGACTCGGTGACGTGATGCCTCCCACGCACTGCTCAGCTTTTTCTCATTTATCGACCTTCACGAGTAACCATAGCAACAGCAACAGCTACGAGAACAGATTTCAGAAAGTTGTCTCGTTTAAAGATAGATTTGAATTTGAGTTTAATCAGATATTCATAAATACTGATTATGAATACGAATAAAAAATAATTAAAATTCATATCTACAGTTGTGCATGAACGGTTACACAGCCAGAAAGGTCACTGCTTTGGTCAGATTTTGTAGATGATAAATGATTTAAAAAGAATAGTTTTTTCACTCAGCGGTAGTGGTTGTGTGAAGTCATTTATGGTAAAATAAACTTGTTTTCTATGGTCTCTATTATCAATCTGTGGGGGTCTCAAATGTGCAGTTAATGCAAGGCAAACCAGGAGTTTATCCAACTTTAACCTATTTTGCAATAGCCTTAAATCACAACTGGAGAGTTTAAAAAGTTGTTAATTCACCAACCTTAGAGATAAGAGAATCAAACAACTCTGAATTGACAGGAACTGGATGGTTTTTGCCATAAAGAATTTACAGTCCGAGAGGATAAAGAACCTCATCCACAACTACCACACAAGAATCCAAACTTTGAGCTGCAAGAGAACTGGGGGATGGAGACTTCTAATCAGGGTCAGAAGGAAAGATTCTGTTGTTATTCTAATGTCGTCATCACTTAATAAAAAGGTAAAACATGTATATCTTACAGTAAATGGCTTCAAACAACCAGAGTCCACTTTCATTGTATGATATATAATATAGATTTATTACCATTTCTTCAACAAATATGCAGTCAAGTAAGAATGCTTAAAATATTATACTTTTTAATAGTCAAGTTGAAATATTATTTAATTTTACTATTATTCGACTTTGATAATGATAATGAGACTATATTTAATTGGTCATGTTTCATGCTTTAGAATTACAAATAATGTTCTTTAGGAGAAAATATTTGGTGAATAGACTATCAAGGGTAAACAACGCAATCGTCCTGCCTGATGCTACCACCAGAGGGAGGTATACAGATTTTTTATTTTTTTCAAATAAAAAAACACTTTGTGCAAACACTGTCATGCGATAACAAAGAACCTAATATTTCGCCATGGAAATTATCAACATTTATATATGAGAAAAACTAAAAAGCATTTAGATATGAATTATGAATAAAACAAAGTTAGGTTGCACAGCTTTAAAGGTGCTAATTACAAACCAACTACGTGAAAGTGTTACGTAGAAAAAACAGGCAGGTGAAAAAGGTTTGAGATTTGTATGGAAAACTTTATTTGATAATAAAAATAGCCTTCACAGACTTCTTTTGATAGCTACATATACATTGTAATCCATCTGGAGGAAAGAAGCTGGATAAGTCCACATCTACTTGTACTTTGACTAATGTTATGTTTTTAGCTTCATGGGTCAAATAAAGCTATGAACAATGTGATATTTATATATGCATAGTTTTATAAAAAGATTGGCCCATAATAATAATATACATGTACTGCTTTTTATCAACACAGAGACTTATGTCCAGAGCACGTTGCAAGAAATAATGTTTTTTTGAAGAAACACAGACTGCATACAAGTGCTTTATAATACAAAGGCAAGCTATAACCATCAAGATCTCAGACCAGACAAGCTGAGCAGATTCAGACCAATACAGTCTCTCAACACGCTTTACATACCTGATCCAAGAGTAAAATTAATATATTTCCAATAAATCATTATCAGGTCCAACACAATAGCACATTCCCCACTGCTGAGGCTCTCTCCATAAATTTCTCTTTTGTACAAGAAAAGGCAACATTTTTTAAAATTCTTTCCTAATAATAATAACATTGGAAAAATTCTTTACAGGTGATGGCCAACAAACTTTTTTTTTCTCCACATTTTTTCAATACAGTACCATGGTGACAACAGTGATCAAACGATGCACGTGGATTTTACGTAAATATTTCTGGATGAGACGTATAAACAAAGAGAAATACATTTAAAAACAAGCAGCAGTCAGACTGGGAGTGGAGAGATGGCATGGCTCAGCAGGGCAGATCGGTCGCACTCTTGTAGCGGGACCACGATACCAAAACCACAGCAGCTCGAGACCCGGAGTCAGTGCACCAGTCGATCACAAGGGCAAAGATACATCATTTTGGGGGTGCAACTTGCATCAGTGAACCATAACATTATGACCACTGTTCTAATTCGCTACTTGCGCAAATCCCATTGAGATTTTCGGCTTCTCCCATAGAATGTGCAATAAAGTTAACAAACTGTGGTAAATCTGCAGTGGGAGTTAAAAAAAGTGTTTGAGTCCTGATTAGGAGGCCAGTTTGGAACCTCAAAGCTCATGGGAACACTTTAAACCCACCTGTCTCAGTGTTGTTAATGCACTAAAACAATAGAAATGCTCGCCATCTGCTGGCCATTTGCAAAACTGAACAAATAAGGTACAGATGTTTTTGGTTTTGGCGAATAGACATTTTCTGAAGGTATATGGAAGCTAATATGAGGCTCTTTTATGACAGTTTTGTGCATTAGATTGATGGCATATGACCCGCTCAGCCCGCAAAGCATTATGGGACTGCGCAACTAGTGAATGAGATGTCATTCGAATCATGAGGAATCAGCCTTTGTGTCTAGACCTTTCCAGACTGGGAACATTCAATGATAGAAGCTGCTTCTACAGTTTTAACCATAGGCATTTTCGTACGTACCACCAAGCTAAGAACTAGCCCCCATCATCCTCCAGTTCGTACTTAGTAACAGGAACCAGCAAGTACGCATTGGTGGCATTCACACTGCATGAGAATGGCTTCATCTACATTTAAAGCTACACCGTGCAACTGTTGCAACGCTACGGCTTTGCTTGGACTGTACTTCATTATTATTGTGGAGATATGACTTTTAGCCTGTAGCAAGATCAGTTGCGTTGATGGAAGTGGATGGAAAACTTAAGATGCCATATTGAGGGATATTCCAGGCAAAAATGAATGTAGATATATCCAAGCAAAACCTGAAGCCACTCCTCCACTAGGAAAATTACACAGTGCAGCTTTAAAATTGACATAGGTGATTATGTTTGAGCGAAAATATATGCCATATTTCCGCTCGACAAACTTTACTGATCCATTACTTGGACTCAGTATAGGTCCAAACACTTATCAACTCGAAGAAGGTGGAAATGCGTTGGTATGTTCCAGCATCAGAATACAGTCATCTATCTATATTCTGTTTTTCTAGTGATTGCAACTACAGTTAAGAGAACTCCAAAACCTTGCAGCATTCACCTCTTCTCTCTCACAACTCATGAAATAATGTTAAAATTCCTAAACTTCTACGGGCTTCTTACAGCTTGAGATGCTCGGCTTGCACTAGGAGATAAATCAAAGAATGAATGAAAAAGAAATCCAGTGTTGTACAAACTGGTGTTATCAAAAGGTTCCTGGTTCGACTGGAAAGTACCTGCCACAGAAGCTTAGAAAGTCCTTAAAGTCTTGCCCTTTTCTCCGATGTCTATGTGTGAACGTGCCCACAATGGGAACAAGAACTAAACAAGTACCAGCAAATGAAAATAGTTCAGTGCGAAATCTCCCCTTGTAAAACCCAAATGTTTCCATATCGACTCCAGTGTAGGATCTCCCTCCGTGCGTTTCAATCCGTGGTGATCACAACATTATGTTTGATGAGGGACCGTTTACATTTTGTGCAGGAAAATTTACATTTCTTTTTGGCATACAAGAAAACATCGATCGTTATGGCAGCATGGAGCTGGTTCTCTGGCACAACGCAGTCTTGGCGAAACCTCTCTGTGAATCTAATCACCATTTTATCAGGACCAATATTGTGTTTAAATCAAGTAAAAGTTTTCAGCTTCATGTTGAAAGTAGATCTTATTTTTGGCAGCAGCAGTTGTGTGGAGGCTTAGTGAGCTGCTGTTTCAAAGACTCCCAGGTACAGTGTGTGTTCCTACCATCCCGAAACTTTTTATGAGCTCAAAATATATGTGCCAAATGAACAATAAATAGTGACAAAATCCCCAAATGGTCATATATTACTTCTCTCATAACCACGTGCTTCAGTTCATACTTACACAAAAGTTTCACAGTCTTTGTGGACCAACAGTGTCTTGTGCTATAGTTTTGTTCAGTAAAGCAGGTCTCAAATGGGGAAAAAAACCTTCATAATTATAAAAATCACCACAACTGGAAGCATCTGTAGGCCTCGGAGGGAACGACTATTCATAGATTCAGCAAATGCCTACAAAAAGCAATGCAACTGATTTAATTTTGCAGGCACATAACAATAACTTTACTATAGTACAACAACTCTGATCAAAAAATAACAAGAACAATGACAAAAAACAACCAGTGTGGACAGATAGGATTGTACTTTTGCTGTTTTATGAATCTCTGTCATGAAGGGGAGATCACAATAAAATAAAATAAAAATAAAAACTAAATTATTAACAAATCAGTCAAACCAAATAGCACAAGACTTGTAACATCCTGTGGACGTTTCCAGTGTATCGCACAGAAAGAGAGGAGGCTTCAGATGCTCAGGTCTTTGGGGCTCTCCTTGTACAGGCGGCGTTTGGGGTCGGGCAGCTGGTTGGCGCCGCGTCCCGCCGTCGCGCTGTTCTTGTTGTGGACCGCGTTGTTGTAGGCAGGAAGGTTGTACTGCGGCGCGTTGTTCTTCATCATGCTGTAATAGTCTTTGAGCCTAGGGGGCGCCACCGCTGCTCCGTAGTTGAGCTCCTCGCGGCTGTAGTTGCTGTCCGGGGAGGAGTCGCGGCACCTCCTCTCGGGCGTGCCGTTGGTTCTGCATCTCTCCGAGGACGAGTCTCTGAGCAGGTTGCCGTTCTTGGAGGAAGCGCGGTCCAGAGTGCGCCCCCTGGTGTACGACAGCGTGTCCGAGTTGTTGTTGGACCGCAGGCTCATTCTCCCCGGAGTCGCCGCCACTGCCGCCTCCTTCAACACGCGCCTCTCGCAGAGCTTTCTCTCGGGCGTCACGGCGAGAAACCCCCCCTCGTCGAAGTCCCTCTCGGGCGTCCGGTCTCGTTGCGCCCTCTCTGCTCTCCGGTCCATGGACTTGGCGCGCCGACGGTCCGGGGACAGGCCTCGCTTCCGTGTCTGCGATCGATCGAGAGAGCCGGGACGCTGCCTGACCCTGCCGTCCAGAGTGGAGCTGCTCGCGTTCGCCTCTCTGCCCCTTTGCTTTTCCGCCTTCTTCCCCGAACTGTCCTTCCTCAAAGTCTTTAGAAGTTTAGAGATCCCGCTTTCTGACTCGGACTTCTTCACCTTCTTCTTGGTCTTCTTGTTGCCCCCGCTGCTGCTGTTACTGTCGGCGGGAGACTGGTTTCTGGGGGTGCTTTGACTGTGGTTGTTGTTCCAGGTGTGATGGAGGTGTGGGTTAAATTGCTGGCCTTGGTAGTCCAGTATTTGCTCGGTCCCAGCCCTGTCCCTATCCCGGGTCTTGGTTCGGTCGCGGCCGCGCACAGCCTCGTCCTGCCGTGATGGTTTGTGAAGGTCGGGTGGAAAACTGGGCTCCGATGAGGTGTGGTATCGGCTGTTCGGCAGAGTCCTCACTTCCGGAGAGTTTTGTGCCCCGGGTGTGGCAGGGTACCCGTCACTGCTGCCGTCTGGAGGAGAAAGACCAGAAGTGTGTCATTATGTGTATTTGAGGCGGGATTTCTTTTGCCGTGCATGCGTTTTGTGCATCACATGGGTTGCTTTGTAAGTAGTTGTCAACATTTGAAGTGGATCAAACAATGGTATATCGAAAACATTACATTACATACATTTACATTTTATCACTAGTATCAATACTCTTATTATTTGTTTACTTGTTCTATTTCTAAACTAGCAATTAGATCAACTTTCGCATAACTACAAACATTTTATGCACAAACTGATGGTAAATAATGCTGTATCTAATCCAAATGTTGACAGCTAGTTCAAAGTTTGTTGATACCTGCTTGGACGTTCACTGATGAAGATGTAGTGGACAATACACAGTATGACGTGGGAATGTCAGTGACACAAAATACATCTATAGGAACCATTCAAGACCAATGCTGGACAAATGACTGTGCAACATTGGGGCAATCCAACCAAAGAAACAGAACAAAAGCAGGAGTGACTGGTTGAGAATGACCTCGTTAGAAAAAGTGAGGGTTTTTCAGGGAGAAGCGTGATCAAAATGTTAAGATTGTCCATATATCACAGCAGCACAAAGTCACAGGTGGCACACAGCTGTTGTCAGGCATGACACGGAATGAAGCACATTCAACGTAACCAGAGGTGGAGTGAGTACTGGCTGCTTTAAGTATTGTTACGTGGCTAAGAATTATTATTCCCAAACAAACTCATGAGTGAGTAATATTAGCTCTATGGCGTTTAGCGATGTAATGAATGACAGAGAACATCATGCTCTTTGACTGATGCATCAAACTGATACAAACTATTCAACTATTATGGAAAATGCCGTCTTAACTGATTATAGAGCTATAACCATGAGCTCTTTTGGGCGACATAATGTGTAAACCATATGTGACAGGCCGTGGGAAGAAGGGCCACAAGTTGGCAAAGAAAATGTAATGCAAATCCACCAAGAAGCTATCTAGGTGGATTTGGAGGATCTTATCAACATTTTCCCCAAAACTGAATAAGAAAATGGAAAACTTGTATTTCTTGATTGATTTATTCAATCGGGGACAATGCACATCAATTGACATTTCTGTAAAATGCCAGTTTTAGGTACGGAGCTTGTTTTCAACTGTAGTCCAGGGACAAAGTGTAAAAAAATGCAATTAAAAGATAAATACATTAGTAGTCTTAAAACAATAGTAAAAGTTTGTACATTGTGCATAAACAGTAAATATACAAAAGGGAAATCTTTGAGGTTGTTTTTCTCAGCTTTGTGATTTCAGGTGATCTCACTTTGAAATGACCAACAATCCTTCAAATATGATCAGATTTCCACTTAGTTTAGAATCCACATTTTCAGAATCTGTGATGAACTCAAAATACCTCTGGGTAGACCTGTTCCCTCTTTCCCACGGCCAGACTCATGTGTAGATTTCATCATTTCTAAGAACATTTGAGTAGTTGTAAAACTAGAGAACCATATTTAACAGTAACAGTACGCACACATTGCAAATCGCACACACACAAAACTTCTTGCCTTTTGAGTATTTGTAATTTGTGACTTCCACCTCTGACCTGCATAATGTACGACACATTAGGGGCAAGGCCTTTGATGTTGTGAGGGGCTGTGCAAACCCAAAGGAAAACAGATGACAAAAGGGGGGTGGACTGGGACAGACTTTTGGCTACAAACCGTGGTCTGATTTTGGCCCATTAGGTAGAAACAGGGCTCTCCCATCTTGTCATTCCTCAAAGTCCCCACAGCGAGATGAGGAGCCATCATCGCTGCAGAGGAGGAAGAGCCCAGACACAAACAGAGAGAGAGAGAGAGAGAGAGAGAGAGCATAGAAACACATACACTGGTTTACATGGTGTCCTGATGAAAGCAAAACTGAAACAATTCAATTACACTCCACACAAACTTGAAGAAAAAAGTGTCATTTTGGACCATTTAAATTTGTAATGAGAATATTAACTTTGTCATTTCATGTTTCAGAATGTAAATATCAAGGGTAAACACGGCTATCATCCTGCCCTATCCGTGTGCTGCCTCCAGAAGAAGCTGTTCTGTTTTGATTTTTTCCATATTTAAAAAAGAACCAGCTGCAACGACTGCCTTGAGATTGCAAAGAATGTAATCTCACCTTTCCAAAGAGTTCTAGACATTACTTTTCTTATAAAAGTCAGAAAACTGCTCAGAGTGTGATGTCACAGTGGTACAATGACAGTAACTACTACAGGACTGAGACAGGAGCGCTTAGACAGCTTGTGCCATAAGTTTCTGACATAAGCATGAATGTAGCTAAATACAACTAAGGAAGGAACAATATGTGATAAGTTTTAAAGGCTTCCTATGTCTAATCTCATAAAATGCATCTGCAGTGATTCAAAGTCTAAATTAACATCATTTTACAGCGCACAGAGAGAGCCTGATACCTGGAAAGTGGAGAATGATTAGTAAAGACTGGTTTAAATGAAATCTTTAATCGGTTCGGATTCTATATTACAATTTAACCAAATACAATCAAAATATTTCTTCTTTACGTTAATGGGAGTGTGGCTAACATGTACGCACCATATTCAGGTACAGAACCGTCTCCACGCTTGAGGACCAGTCTCGCTCTCCGCCCGCCGTTCTTGATCAGCTCGATGGCGCGAGAATGTTTCATGTTCTTTGTGCTCTCTCCGTTTATCTCCAGGATCTCGTCTCCCACCTAAAACACACAGGTCGGAGTTGTTTAGATGCGTCTTTGGGAATTCCCTGTCTAACCTATCGTATGGAGGTTTAAGGAAATGTGTACAAAACCTAAGAGGACTAAATCATTCTTTCCAAGTTGAATAGAATTTTCTTTCCACCGATTTTGACCGTATCATAGTTTCCCATGCCATTTACACACAGAGAAAACTACACCAATTAGGGTTTTGTTTATAACATTGTCTTAGATCCATCATGAAATTCAAAATGTACTAACTCTTACATTGTCATTATATATCATAAAAAAAATCTTACAAACAATACAAACAAACAAAGTTTGTATTGACTCTGACTAAGACAGTAGTAAGAATGGAGCCATGCGAAGAATTAGCTTCAGCCTATAGTTCTTATAAAGCTCTTTGGAAGTGGCGAAGTTTTTCTCATACCCTCATTTTTCCGTTCCTGACTGCAGCGCCATCCTCTGCTAGCCTGAGGACGTACAGGTCCATGTTGTACTCGCGTCCGCCTCTCAGACTGAAGCCAAAGCCTTTACTGTCTCTCTCCAGATCCACGGAGTAGAACTCAGCGTCCTGGAAACAACGTCACATTCAACAAGTTGTTATTTTATTAGGGACACAAGATTCAATACTGGCCTCGGATATCTGTGCCAATTTCTTGAGTCTGCCTTTATCTTGGTTTAATAAGTTACTGAACTGTCATTATTTAAAAGAAACAACAGCAAGTTTTAAATACAATTGGAGATGCTGGGATTTGAGAGGTTAAAAATGCCATCTGCAGACCCTTCATTTGTATTAGTCCAGCAGACATTGGAGCCAACGTTTTAAAAAGCTGGAATTGGTGCCTCCCTTATTATTAGAACAATAAATATTATCTTCTCTAGTAATGAGAATTCACAAACCAAGAATTTTCTTTTGCTTATGTTGCAAATAATGCTGCTATAATAGATAGATAGGCATGCATAGAGAAAATCTAATATATAAGTAAGTAGACAAAACACACATTTAACAGTGTATATTATGGATACTAATAAGTTGCAAGTGTTGTTGTCCAGAGGTATGGGATTAAAAAGCGTGCTCTGGAAGTTATGACCATTCATAAGATGTAATGGAAAAGAGAAATGCAGTTTTACTTAAAAAACTAAATTATGTACATATTGATAAAGTATATAGGAGCTATTTCGGCATAAATATAAAGCCTAGCGTACATTGACAGAGTAACTGGAGACAACTAGTTGCAAGGCGGTATTTGGCAACTGAGAGTAGATGATGGAGATGATCAGTTGCCGAAATCGGTCGATGTGAGCGCTCTTACAACTGGAGATAAACAGTCAATCTCCGGATTCAGTCAGTTGCAGTGTTCTACTTTTTGGCAACTAGTTGTACTCAGATCCAGAGATATCCCCCGATGTGCGCGCTCCTAATAGATCCGTGGCGTGCTCCAACAACGTGGGTGTATTGTGTGTATTGCGCCCTCTACAGTTTATGTCAGAAAACACACTGTAGTTGACGGCCAGTTGCTGTCGATGTACGCGCTGTTATTCCCGAGACTGGTCTGCTACTAGGAGTTACCCGTTTTTGCCAGATTGTCGATGTGTGCGGGGCAGCAACTCATATGCGACGGATATAATCAGTTGCCAGTCCGATGTACGCTAGGCATAAGACAACGAGGTGCCTGTTTGCTCTGAAAAAGACTCATTGTGGTCACAGCACAGGGACCAGATGTCTTCTTTGATGCATTGGTTGCCTTTGATGCGGAGCGGACAGGGCACTTTTACACAGATGTTTCTTGCTCCTCTGTCTTCAAAAACTACGGTACTCCATCTACTGTATGTGGGAATATGTTGCAACAAAGCAAATAGGTCTTTCACTAAAACCAGAGCTGTGTGATTATTTTGGCTTTGAAGGAAAGAAAATGTCATAATATTTAGATAAAACATTGGCTTAATTTTGGCATTTGATTGGTGCAGCTCCTGACCCAGAAATGGATTAAGGGGAAGAAGATGCATGGATGAATATAGCCATTATTGAAAAGGCCACGCAGACAACATAGATTTGACATTTTCCACTTTATGTCTTTACCTGGTTCTGAGTTGGTGGTGGAGGAGGTGCTCCTTTAGACTTTGAGTTGTTCCTGTGAAAGAATAACATATTTAAAGAAGTTGTAAATATATAAAAGTTCTTAAGCTGGGTGCCAGAAAGTGAACCCACCGAGACTCGGACTGAGGTGTGTGCGTTGTGGTGATGGTAGCGATCTTCTCAGCATTGGTGAGCAGAGAAGCATTGGAAGATTCTGTAAAAACAAAAACAAATCAACTTAAGTGACCTTTCCCAAGTCTAAAATATTGTAAGTAAAAAAGTATACACAAGGATCCAATGTATAACAATGTCAGGAAGTAAATAATCTTTACAGTATATAGCGCTTCACGGTCCAGGATCACGCAAAGAGCTTTATAACTTTGGGAAATCGAAGCATGTGGAAAAAACTAGAGCAGACACAGGGAGAACATGCAAACTCCACACAGGAAGGACCTCTATAGACAATGTAGAATGTTACAGATGATGTCAAGTTGAAACTGTTTAAATCATTTGTTTAAATCATTTGACGGGTGTGAATAAAAGAAAATCCTTAAATGTATGTATGAATATGTGTATGTCTCTGTCGTGTAATTTACGTAATTGCTGTAAATTCCATATTGATTCCTGTTTTTAAGCTTAAAATAAATCCAGTCACTCAATTGTAATAACACACAGCCAGGTCAGTACAGGTCGCTCTTTGGTGATTATGAGACCCCCTCATGTCTACCTTCCTGTGTCTGCGTAGGTTTCCTCCAGGTACTCCGGTTTCCCCTACCACTAAAACCATACACAATAGTTCTGGCATGCACCTCCTGTATGGCAACCTCGCTCTCATCTTTACGTGGAGTAAGAGACAAATGCCCTCAACAATTGTAAAGCGCTTTGAGACTCTGGTCTGTGAAAGGCGCTATATAAATGAAGATGATGGACCAGGGCCTCTCATTTTACAGGCCGTGTCAAGAAATGTAATACACACATTTATCTGTAGACTTTCGATAAGACAGAGGGTTCAAGTTGGATTGACAAACACTAGGTTCAGTGCAATTTGGTGTCAGTCCAGGAGTCTGGCTGTCTTTTAAAGTCATAACCCTTTATACATTACAAAAATATGAATGACATAAAGCACACAGATCCAAAAAACAATAAAATGTTAAATTATATACGAAACAAAATTAACTTTAAATAATCCAACTGCTGTTATCTATGTTGACTTTCTTTTCCAACAAATATACTATGACATCTCACTTTGTGGCTTCAGAACTATTTTTATTATCTTTTGTTTGTGTTTGACTGTTTAAAATTGGACCATGATTCAAGAATAAAGTTGAAATGCCAATATAAATGTACTGTATGTTGCTATACTGCACTAAAGCCACATGCAGTATATACCTACCATGTATTTACTGCAGCGATTTAAGAGATATGACTCATGGTTTCATAAGTTCTGTTTCATCTATAACTTTTCTTTTCCCAAATACAAACGACATAAAATAACTGCCTGGGAGAGAAGCGGCCAGTTTTGACGCTGTACTTCCGGCTCCCGGCTCCCGGTGAGTCAGAGATGCGAGCTCCTCCTTTAAGTGCAGTGAACAACAGCCGTGGCCTTTTCCCTGCACCCTTGGCTCATGAATAACTCAGCCTGATGCATTATGAAACAACGGCCGTGTGTAACATCAGCCTCACCATCACCGGGGATGATCCTCAGGGACACCGTATTCCCCGCCTCTTTGATCAGGTTCACGATGTCCGAATGCGACTTGTTGGTGATGGAGCAGGCGTTCACGGCCAGGATGCGGTCTCCCACCTTCAGCTTCCCACAGCGGTCTGCAGGGCTGCCCTCGATGATGCGCCCAATTTTGTGGGGCATGGCCACACAGGCGTTTCCAGCTTTGTGTGCGGGTTTGGAGAAGGAGAGGGAGGAGAGAGAAAAGAAGAATCATTTAGAAAAGGTTTTTATGTATTAGCTTACAACTTTCAAAACATGTATTTGTTCTTTCTTTTGTCCCAACAGAAAGTGTACATTATCCTTTTTCACTTTTTTGTCTGAAAATGCTGATCTAAAAAAATATATATATACAGTATATGATGTGAAAACTAGTGGTCTGAATAGTTGAGATGAATAGTTAACAGTTAAAATGTAGCCATGCTGCTGAGCTTGTAGCTTGTTTACGGATCCATGATGGCAGTAAACGCAAAGCCGTCTACACAAACCGAACAATCGCTCTGAACCATTGTGTAAACATTTGTCTATGTTGCTTCTTCCCTTCTCAGGTAAACGGGTACTATTGCCGTATAATGTACATGCAGACAAATATGATAGATATCTGTAGCGCCTAGTAAATGAGGCAAGAAGGACATTTCTGGCTTAAGCTCTCTTGGTGTCTGTACATTTCCTCTGGGTGCTCCGGTTTCCCCCACCACTAAAAACATATGCACAAGGTAATATCCTTCAGCTCTGGTCCTGACCAAGACGAGCATCAACGTCTGGAGATGGGTCCTCGGCCACTGTACTACGGCGATCACTGCTCCTGACAGAGGCCCTATAGTGACCAATGCAGAGGAAGTACTTACTTACTTACTTACTTACTCTCCTACAAGGAAATGAATGGAATGTTCCCAGATGTCTCCTGCTGCTCAAATCGAGAGCCATGATTGTAAATAATCTAAAACTCCCTCATAGGAATGCTACAATTACAGACGTACACATGCAAAACACTACATGCTGTATAAAGCAGAGCAAATGGATGTGATGTCAAAACTGGAAGTGATGGTCCCAGCGGGGAGGTGCACAAGCTGTCCCCTGCCCCTCCCACTGACGGAGAAATCGATGCGCGTGAATCATATGGCAGCGGTCCGGCCCAGAGCGGCTCGAGCCAGGCAGTCCATCAATACTGCGTTTTCTGGAGCTCCGGAGGACGAATACATTCTTCTACCGCGATCGGAGGACACTTATGTAATCAGCAAACTATGAGCTGTAATCATGCCTGAAAAAACTTCTAAAATACAGCATGTACAACAGCTGCCGTCAGCCGCTGGACTTCAAAAGGTTATTAATGAAAGCCATGGGACATATATTTTGTTCAAAGCCTAAAGCATGCAAGGCACTTCAGCGAGTGATCTAAGGTGAAGAGAAGCTTTATCCTCCACTTCTGACTTATATGAGCAGCCTTTTTGAAGTTTTATTCATTTAAAAATAAAAAATCAATACAATCATAAAGTTGTGCTCACAAGTTAGTATACCATGGCTATACTGTATATGTGCCTCGGATCCAGTCTTGGGTATGTGTTTAGTTATGTTTGACCTGCTTCCCAAAAAGTTCCTTCGCATTATCCTAGAAGAGCAGTTACTTATATGTTTTCACCACCCTAGCAACACCCACATCCTCTGTACTCTTCTACATAAACTATATTAAATGCATGCTGCACCCCACGAAGATATAGTCACTTTTCTTCCTTAATTCTGAATAATTTGTGATGTATGTGTAATTGCCCAGTGAAAAGACTGAATTTTAATTAAACTTCTATAGATGGCCTTGTTGTACCACAATCTTGCCTTGCTCTCAATGCCACTCTGTACTAATACTGATTTCATGGTCATTTCTCAGCTTCTCAAAGAACATCTAAAGCCTCCAATCTTCCCGTAGAGATAGAAAAGGGGGATGGGCTTACAGTAGAATGCAGCAGAAATATTGTTGTATCTATGATGTATGAGTGCTTGGATCAGCTAAAAGTGCTTTTGTTTTGCTCCGCACTGTTTGGCCTCCTCAGAGATATACGACGTGTGTTTTTAGAAATAACAGTATACTAGTGTCCCAAACGGCTGCTCCCCGTTAGAAAAGAAGTTGGCACAAGATCACATACTGAGATTATTTATAGATATTATTCCGAAATGGGAGCATATCAATTTCAATGGATATACAGTATGTAGCGTAGCATTTCTGATGAAACAATGGACTTTTGAATGGTAAACTATTGAACAATTTATGGTCATTTTAAAGCTAGGATACTCAATTTTCAACCACAAAAATAGTAACAATTCAATAACTTCCTTGCACTCAAAACAGTTTGGTTCTATCACCAGTTTTCACATTCACATATTTTTGGCCTCAGTCAGACATTTACCACCCTCACTTTTCTGCCTGAGCTTATGCAAAACATAACATATTTTAATAATATGTTAGGTAACCCAGATTTAATTCAAGTTGGGTAGAAATGTGGTCTGGTTAGTATTACTAGTATTGCGGATGTTTGATCAGCTCTGACCCAATAAGTGATTTTGTTGGGTTTTTCTGGGTTAATCATATGTTTTTATCAGCTCTACCAATTCTGTGTGAGTTCTGTTGTCTTCCCACTATCATCAATACAATCTCAAACCTTTTGTATAGTTCCCAAACAACAACAACAGCTGCAGAGGGTGTCGGCTTATAGTAGATGCTAAACTAGGCGGGTGAAATGTGAATAAGCGATGATGGAAAAAGGGATCCTATGGGAATACTGTTGTTAGCCATAAAGAAAATAATTAAAATCTTTGAAGCAGAGTGACCTCGGAATGTGTCCAATCCCTCTGCTCATAAAACAGAGAAAATAAATGAAGGGGATTGGTGGTGTGCGGATGTGTGCCACCAGAGGGCGCACTTCAGTACAATTGTCGCTACTCCAAACAAACCAGGACACATCAAAAGAAGCTTATACAATGAACATGAGAGATACTTTAGTGGAAGATTTCACCAAATATTATTCTATTGGAAATGTTAAAAAAAAATGTCTACCCTTGTTTTGACAGTTTTTTCATTAATAATTATGTCTTATTGCAGAATGGAACTTGTGATATTAAGTTAGTTATTTAGTGCTCAAGAACTAAACTGGGCCGAACTGTTTACCTGATCCTTACAAACTGTACATTTAAGAATTTATAATATAGATGGATAAAAATTAATAAAAATGGGCAACAGTAGCTCAGTTGGTAGAGCATTGGCCTTAAGGCCAGAAGGTCGTGGGTTCAATTCCCACCTCTACACCTTCTCCACCGACTCCCACTGATGACTGCTGTCGTTGTGTCCTTGGGCAAGACACTTAACCCCACTTTGCCCAAAAGCCCCCACTGAAAGATCAAGGCTATGCTCACAGTCAGAGAGCAGCCATCCTCCTGTGGACTCACCACCTGCAGAGGGTCAGTGAGGGGCTGGTGCTATGAGACTTGGGTGGCATCTCTGATTGCCACCCCCCTGACCCAGAAATGGATTAAAGGGTAGAAAATGGATGGATGGATGGATAAAAATTAATGAATTAAAAGAGAAAATCTTGATCATTTCCATGGTAACGGAGGGGTACACAAATGTTCTTGACAACAACTATTCATCTTCTATGTTAAACATGGTCTATCGCCAGCTACAGCAGACAACCTCACTTACAACTGGATTTATATGGATGGAACAAACCCGACTGGCATTTAAGCATTCGTGGACTATAATTACGTTGTTTACCTCGCCGTAACTATGGAAATGATCGCAAAAAGGTGTAAAAAACTTTCAAGCCTCAAGTATAACTCATATCAAAAGATTTGATTAAAGGAAAATATTATACATTTTTTCTACATTGTTTTCACATCAAAGAACCTGGAGTTGTTTTGAATTCTATCCAAGCTAATTTATACAACCTTTTGGCAGGAAAACCATTTGATTCTGTCACCAGTTTTCACATTCATGTATTTTTCTGACAGAAAAGTAAAGCGTCAAAGACTGACTCACAGACCTCTTGTTTACGCTAAAGACGTGATGTTTTCGAATAACACGGTAAAGAGAGCTTGGTGTGGTTTTTTTCATTATTTCAATTTCTAAACCTAAAAAATCAATCCTCATATTTGTGCTTTTTTTATGGACATTATCCCGTCTTTGACTCACTGAAGGTGGTGCCAGCGTCGGGCCGAGACACAGACGACACGATCACGAAGCCAAAGCCCTCGTTCTCTCCTCTCTGGATCTCCACGTCGTAGGGCTGCAGGCTGGCTGGGACCACGGCGCTCCCACTGCCCCCTCCTCCTCCGCTGCCGATGCCGCTGGTGGAGCCGCTGCCCGAGCTCACGGTGTTCAGGGAGTTCTGGCTGCCCTGTGGAGTGCGCTTGCCTTCGGTGAGACTGGGCGCCTGCGTGCTGCTGTGGTGGGAGGAGGCGGGGGAGGGCGGCACGTCTCCTTCACCTTTAGAGACTGAGGAGCAAGAGAGGGGCGTCAGCAGAGGGACTAGAACCATGAACAAGCGTATGTGTGGTTTTATGTGGAGAAATAACAGAATCACATGGTCGAAACTTCAAAGTAAATGACTGTGTAATGCGTTAGCTTAGCATTGTTCATCTTTTGTTCACAGTACGGTAGACTTTACTTTTTTTATTTGATATAGATGAATTAAAGTCTATGTATTGTGTTTTGTAGGGGTTTTTTTTAGAGAGAACAAGAGATTTCTGCCCCAATTTATTTCTAAGATTGTCACTAAATTAAGCCAAAAGTTACCATGCATTTCATAATCAACTGGATATCATAACTAAAATTTGTTTTTATTTTTTTCCTCTAAAGAATCCCCGCGCTTCACATATTTATGCTAATAAGCTAATCATACAAAAAAACTGCCCAACTGTTTATTTCTGTCTTATATAATGTACCCAACATTTCCATAACATGTCCCTGTTCTCTCATTTCATCAACAAGTTTTATTTTGCACTTTTATTTTAACTATATGTTACTATGTATTTTGGTAATAACAAAAAATCCCATATAGATTCAGAATTTAAGTAAATATATATCCCTGCAAACATACACCTCTCAGTCACTACACTTATAGTTTTCTCCAACTTATCAACTTATCAAATAGCACCAGAGAACATTATTATTAACGCTATATTTTTCTAATTTAAAGGAAAAGTAACTAATATCAACTGCTATTTTTGTCCTGACAAAGTGTATCTCTCTCTACAGGTTGGAGACCCCTGCTGTATGTAAATGCGGTCACCTCCGTATCCGCCGGTCTTGCGCCTCACGGTGAGGTTGACGTGGCCCTGCTTGGCGGCTTGCTGCATCAGCTGCACCACGAGCTGATGAGACTTCCCCACGACCGCAGTGCCGTCCACACAGATCAGCTCATCCCCGGACCGGAGGCGCCCGTCTTCATCCGCCGCGCCGTACTTCACTATGTGACCGATGTAGATCTGAGGGAACAACACCAGGCGGTTAGAGAAAAAAACTTCACATTTCGTCCCAGAACCCTTTATCCACAAAGAGTATTTTATCTGCCCTTATACGTCCTGGCTTCCTGAGATTCATTTCAGATTCATGCAGCTAAAATCTGGAATAGTCTTGAAAATGTGAGACAGGCTTCTTGTCTGACAACGTTCAAATACATATTAAAACCGTTCTGTTGATCTGAGCATACAAATGAAGGATTGTACTTCACTCTTTTAATCATCCTGCTGCAATTATTAATGATTAAAATGCTTATGTGATTTTTTTCTATCTTGTTTTGTTAAGCACTAGTTTTGTGTATGACCTGTGTTATACATTTGCCTGGCTTGGACTTCTTTGTGAAGGCCTTAACTGCTTGGGTGTTCACTTTGACTGGGACTATGTAAAGTTGTACTGGATACCATATTGGTTGCATTGGCCATTAAAGTTGAACCATTATATACTGTAGATGTGTGACAGTGACATGCAGTATGTTCTCACTCCCCGGGTCAAAGCAGCAGCAACATTTGTGCCGGAAGTTATTCTCCATTTGGTTTGAAAAGGTGATCAGTCGATGAACATCTCATTTTGTGTTCATGCTGATGCCCTAGTTTATAATTAGGACTTTTAGGTGGTTATTGCATAATGCCTTGATGAATAAGTATGGGAACAACAATTTAAATAATGGAACGAGAGCAAAACACAAACACCAAGAATATAGTACTTTTGTATACAGCTCATCTTTTGTATCTAAGGTTATATTTGATAATTAACCTTATGGAGGTATTTTGAACAAGTGATAACATGGATGAATTGAATATAGTGCGTGATGTATATTGCTTAACAAAAGGAGTACGGTTATGTTTGGTGATAATGTAAGCTAATGTTTTGCTAACAGCTGTTGTGCTGTAGTCCCTGACAATACAATCATATAACTTGCGTAAAAATATACAGTTCAAATTAAAAGTGCAGGTTACTAAAAAAAACATTAAAATAGTGCAAGCTGCTAAAATACATAGTAACATACAGTTAAAATAAAAGTGCATACTTGTTGATGAAATGAGAGAACAGGGACATGTTATGGAAATGCTGGGTACATTATATAAGACATAAAAAAACAGTTGGGCAGTTTTTTTTGTATGATTAGCTTATTAGCATAAATCTGTGGAGAGCGGGGATTCTTTAGAGGATTAATCATTACATAATAAACCTCACTGTTGTCACTGTTACAACTATTCTGTAAAAGTGCATTCACTGTACATTATCCATATATATCAATGTCAAATGATTCAATTAAAAAAAACATCCAAATTAAGCCCAAAGCCACAGCGGTGTCTTATCCAATTGTATTGATTTGTAAAGTGGCAGTGTTATTTTCCAGGGCGCCTTTATTCCTCCTGTTTTGTGGCTTCAAACAAACATGGCTTTAGGCAATGTGAGTGGGAGTGAGCGCACCCCAGAAACAGGCGCATAACTCGCATGCCGTCACAAATGACAAGTAATACTGATATGAGGCCTACAGCACTGTGGAAAATGGTAATTTCAAAGCAATATTCAGCAGCACAATAAGGAGAATGGGTGAATCAAATGTTACCGTGTTATTTTACCAATTTGACACAAAGAAAAGAGAACAGAAAAAAAATCACAATATCAGCACATTCTTTATATTTATCATCCGACATCCGCAGTATAACTTACCGGCTCCCCAGGCTCGTTCCCACCCAGTATACGGAAACCAAATCCAGTGTCTTTGCGCCAGAGGAAGATGTCTTGCTCCTGACAATCTGGCACTGCAAAAGTAATGTACAAATATGGTTAGATTCATAATTACTGCACTAATAGTTAAATGAAGGAAGCATACACACCAAACCGTACCGCGCACATCAAACTAATGAGATTACTTCAGACTTAAAGCTGGGGTACTTAACTTTTTGCTTTCATACGTGTTAAATGTTGTCTCTCCCAAGAGAAAGACTTCAAATGAAAATAGAAAGTAAAATGTTCACACCGCATCATGCTGAACATATGTCATATTTTTTATATTTGAAAGAAAGAGCCCTGTGAGTGGGCTGAGAGCTGATTGGCTGAGTGAGGGCGGTCCTCCTGTCTGAACGAAGCTGATCTAAACATGTGACAGAGGCCAAGCATACATGCGTGAGAACTAGTGATAGATAAAATGGTAATAGAGCCTGGAGCTAGTTACATGGAGTTGTGTTTATCCCAGATTTAATTACTGACGACATGATAATCTACTGGTGACGTGGACAAATCAAAATCATGAGGCATTACTCAAGAATCCAGAAAGTAAAATCCAGGTCCGGACAAAACGCATGGATGGATCGTTGCTTAACATGGAGGAAAATTGCAGTCTTTGGGATTTGCAAATTACGATCGATCAAAAATGCCCTTTTGATGATTCTGCAGCCCTAGTTTGTGAGTCCATTCATTTCCCTTGCCACTGCTCTTCTCAGCCCACACTTTCACCTCAGCAGAGCAGACTGTTGAGCCCACCAGGCCCGATGTCCACTCTGCTTGCACACAAAATATAGCTGTAGGTGTTGCTATGAAATTGATATACGCATAAATACACAGCAGAGATCTCACATGAAACTAAATTGGCACAGCATAAACTTTTCATGTCTCAACGTGCATCAACATTTTTGGACATAGGTCATCTGCCCCTTATATGTGTTTTTTAAATCATTGCATTTCTTGTGTCTGAATTGTTTTATTCTATGATCTGTTTTGGTGAATTCAACGTTTTTGTGAAGTCCTGTGAGATAGCCATTGTCGTGATTTATGATTTACAAGAATACATTTAATTGAATTTTCAGTAACGGTTGTCATTTTTAGTTCTTGATCATTTTCGTCTTATCTGTTTCTTCTCCTGTGTCTTTTTGAGTTTAACTTCCTGTTCTGTTCTGTTGATCATCTGTCAGTCCAAGCTAAGCTATAGCAACTACATATTATAATTTAATTCAATTAGAATATTAAATAGGGGGTGGGAATTTAAAAGTCTTAACCTCTTCCCACTCCTTTTCGAGCTGACTTTTTGTTAATAAAAACATACTGTATATGTATTGTACTGTTTATTTGTTTTGTGTTTTTCTCATCTGTTGTTTTGTTCTTGTCTGCCATGGCTCGAAATAAAAGTATTCATTCATTCATTGTGTTTATTTTTCATCCCCTTGCTCCTGTGTTTAACATTCATTTGAGTTGTTTTTTTTGTTTTGTGGATTAGTGTTTATCAAAATTATATTATTTATGCAGTATTGTATTCTAGGTCACAATAACTGAGACGACGTACCAACACGATGAACACTGATTCTGTTTTTTTGGGTACATTACAGATTACAACACGCCTCTTGAGACTGCTATTACTCAGTATATTGTCCTGAGCTCCTATAGTTTGCCTTAATTACAATCATATCTTCATTATCTGCGCAGTCTGGCAGTACTTTTTCCTCCCAACCAAATATCCATCCATTTCCATCTCTTATGCAAATTGGCTGCATCACGCACACCAGACCAGTGCTCCAGATTGCATCAAAGCATTAATGTTGCTAAAAAACGTTATTCATGTAATTCAGCAGGTTACTATTTGGTTTATTGTATGAGATTTGGACTCAATATTTGCTCTTTATTTTAAATGTTATATTCATTTCCAACAAAGCTAGACTTTCAGTTTTGGCAGTGTGATGTGTTGGAGAAGTAGGAGATTCTGGCTGATAAAGCATGAAACATTTTCCGTCTTATTTTTCTGCACAATTTGCGCCCGGCGTCTTTGTTTCTGGTTGAGTTTCTTGTTTGATCTCGTCTCCACACCTCCCCGCTGACTCAAAAAGGGGTCTGCAGCTCCTTTAGGGGCTATCAAACACATATACCAATCAGCCAGAGCTTAAAGAGGCTCTCTCTGGGCCTAGTTAATATTTAATCAGCTCCAGTCCTAGTTTTTTACACGGACGAGCCATAATTATCAACGAACGCTGCGCACCGACATTGAACAGCGTGTCAAGTAGAAAGACTGGACACACCCTCTGCTCCGGCTCCAGTCAGCGATGGGAAACCGTTATGAAACGATGAGCCAACATGGATAGCATTGTAACGACGAGGCTTCCACTCCAAAACAGAAATGTGCGCAGTCCTTTGAATAATGCAAAAGTAGAACAACAAAAAAGAGCGTTTTGGAAGGCTGCTCCAGTTAAAGTTTGGAGAAAATTGGAGATAAGCTTTGAAATGAGACTGTACGGTTCCTTCAAAACACTGTAAAAAAAATATACGGACAAGTAAACAACATTCTAAAGCAGTAATTAGTTGCGTTCATTTTGCTGAGTTTTGAACGAAAAACTGTGTTATCTCAAGTAACTTACCAACTAAATAGGCAATGGATTCTTAGTTCTTTCTAACAAGAATTTCTATGGGAATGATGCACAAATGAGAATATATGGACGTAGCATAATGGCTGAAAATGTTGATGTTTACTTTGATATTCAATCTGGACCTTATTCAGGTGTTTGTGACTGAAGTTTTGGTCAGATACGTAATATTTTTAAGAACAGTTGAGACATCCACGCTTTGTCGGCTAATTAATTGGCAAGTAATGTAGTCAAGTATGTCTTTGGTCTATTTCAGCCCTGTATATACAGAAGAGACAAGGCTAACAAACTACTGCCACTTTTTTAACGCACAAAAACACACTACTCTGGGTTTAGAACAATGGGATTAAAAACTGTACATGATCCCGGTGTTGTTACATTATTTGGAAAATGCCTTTATTTTAAATCCAGTAATTCAAAAAAAGCTAAAATAGGAGGTAAACATTTCTAAAATCAAGTGTTTTTAATCTTACCTTACTTTTTTCAAGAACCTTTTCTTTATTTTCTCATTCGAAGCGAGACATTTATTGTATCCCATTGGCAAATCTGGTTCTAAGAAAATGTGAAAATGTGCTCAAATTAAGCAATTTATGATTTGTTTTTTAATAACCTTTTGCAGTGAGATATGACAAGGAATAGCCGACCAATCAGCTGCCTTCTACCCCTGAATTTGGCGACAGCGAGCCAGTAACATGAGTGGAAACTGATTGGCTCTTGGAGGTTACTATGAGAGATTTTGGCTCCAAATTCTCGCCCGTGGAGTGTGGTAGAGTTGGCTCTAATCAGCTGCTTCCAGGAACACGTCAGCACTCTGTCCGTTCCTTCTGAGGATCTATGTTTCTTACCCATAACTCCTATGGCTTCTTTACTATTGCAAGGCCAGTGCTTTGCTTAATCAATACATTCTATTACATTTTCTCTTTGGAGGGAAAGAGAATCTACTGCACACGTCTTCTCAACATCATACTGTATTTATAATCCAGTTGGCGAGCTGTTGGTTACTGATAATGGACTTTACATATTTTACATTTTCTTCAAGCATAAACTGTATGTTTTATAGCACTGTTTCATCTTTCCAGTTACCACTAATGTGCAGGAAATATTCTGGTTTTCCAAGTATTTTGAATAGGATATTTTGTATGCAACATTTACCTCTGTCATGACGGCGGCTCTGTTCTGAAGATGCATTTCTCTAAGGCTTATATGACTCACACTATGCGGTCGTGTTTAGAAAACTCTTGACAGCCTTAAGTGCTCATCGTGAACTCTCTTTGGTGTTTGGTATTGAAAAAGTCACAGCTGATAAAAGGAATCTCCTGAAGCAAAGTCAAAACTTTTAACTTGTCTACCTTCGTCACTTCTACGATGAGCATAAAACCTGCTGGCAAAAGACAACATTTAGTCGTTTAGCTAAATGTGTAAAATCTAGTTCCTATCTAGTAATTCAGTATTTTTGTCCTCTGTCACATCTTTAGATCAGATTTTTTAGACAGAAAAGTGAAAAAGACTACCCAAGAGTCAAATAGTGACTTTTTCTTAGAAGTAAAAAAAAAAAATCTGATAACTTAATTGTATCATTTGTATTTGTTTAGTATTTTACTTTTGCAAAACTATTTCTGTTGAGACAAACATTAAGCGTCATTTATGAAAGTCTTAATATCAGGAATAACTTTTAGTGAATTGTACAGATGCACTACATAAGTCCGCTTTTCCTTTCGGTCAATCACATTTTTTGGGGAATTTTGATAGTATGGCATTAAATCTATCTTCCATCTACAGAGAATTGATAGTTACCTAATGTAACTCAAGTTCTACGAATGGTGCGTAGCCCCTTAGGCTTCGCTATGGGTATACTCCTGAAGCATCTTGCTTCCCGCCAGAGAGAACAAAATGCTCCAATCACCTGCCAGTCCCATCTATAAATAGCCCTCTACGGCCCGTACCAACCACTTTGAACTCAGCCAAAGCCATGCTGGACTGATGGGCCCGTAGCTAAGGGGCTACGCACCATTCGTAGAACTTGAGTTACATTAGGTAACTATCAATTCTACATCATGGTGCTAACGCCCCTTAGGCTTCGCTATGGGTAACCACGCGTAAGCCGTCGGAGAATGTACTCCCATCAGGCCAGCGTAGAGTGATTGGAGCCCTGCCCGAGTTCCCGCCGCACTATCAAGGCGCATGGACTCGGGGCAGGAATAAGAAGGCGCAGTGTACGAGGCCGCTCCTACCAAGGACGCCTGAGTGACACTGACAAGCTCCAGAGGAGCAAGAACACCGAGCAAGGGCCGCTCCTATCAAGGACGCCCACACTCAGGCAGGACTCCCGTAGGAGCCAACAGTGAACATACCTAGGACGCCTCTACCAAGAGCTCCTGAGGTATGAGAAGAGTGAAAGGCCATACCCCGGACGCCTCTATCAAGAGCTCCTGGAGTATGGCAACCAATAAACGGGAAGAGCGGGTCTGTCACGGTGAGTCAGACCCCTGCGTTCAGAATGGAATGGGCAACCGACCGTTCTGCCACGTCCACTAAATAAGACCGGGCAAAGGTAGAGGACGAAGCCCAAGACGCGGCTTGGCAAACGTCCTCCACAGAGGCACCCCGGAGCAGAGCTGTGGAGGCCGCGACTCCTCGTGTGGAGTGCGCCCTGAACCCCACCGGGGGAACCAACTCCTGAGCCGCGACACCCAGTGGGACAGCCTCTGGGGTGTCAATGGTGCGCCTCTGTTCTTAGGGCCTGTGCACACAAATAGCTGATCCGACCGTCTGAAGGAAGCTGTAACCGCCAGGTAGGATCTCAGCATCCTGACTGGGCACAACAGATGCAGCCGCTCCTCCTCCTCGGAGGCATGAGGCGGCGGGTGAAAGGGTCGGACCCTGATGACCCTTGACCTAAAAGCCGAAGTAACAACCTTAGGCAGAAAGGCTGGGTTCGGCCAAAGCACAGCCACACCGTCCTCAGCACCGAATGCTAGACATTCTGGGCGAACGGAGAGTGCGCATAGCTCCCCTGCCCTCTTGGTTGAGACCAACGCCAGCAAAAGGGCAGTCTTGAGAGCCACACACTCAGGGCTGGCCTGGGCCACAGGTTCGAAGGGAGATCCCGATAACCCCTTCAAAACCACTTTAAGGTCCCAGAGTGGGGGGGTCCTTTGAGGAACCTGCCTTTTCCGTTGGGCCCCCCGAAGGAAACGCTTGACCAGTGGGTGGGAACGAGCCGAAAAGGTTCCGAACCCTTCATGTCCAGAGGCAATGGCTGCCGCGAACACCGCCAGGGTGCCGGCAGCCCTCCCTTTCTCTAAAAGCTCTTGTAAAAAGCCCAGCACTCCCTCCAGAGGGCATGACATGGGGTCCCAGGACCGGGCCGCGCACCAGTCACTGAAAACCTTCCACCTACATCCGTAGGCCCTGATGGTGGAAGGGGCCCTAGCGCCCTGAATGGTCTCCACCACCGACTGGGGGAGACCCAGACCTACGAGAGTCCGCCTCTCAGCCTCCAGACCCAGAGTCTGCGGCCCAGTACCGGACGCGAGTGAAGCGTCCCCCCTCCCTGGACCAGAGCCCCGGGCTCGTCCGGGAGAGGCCAGGGGTCGCACACCGCCATGCCCCTCAAGAACGGGAACCAGAGGGCATGCGGGCTGTCCGGGGCGACGAGGATCACTTCCCGACCCTCCTGCTCGATTCTCCTCAGAAGAACCGGCAAGAGGCGAGTCGGGGGAAACGCATACAGAAGACCCCCCGGCCACGGGTAATGCGCCAGGGCATCCACCCCCAGAGGTGGATTGTCTGTGGGCCGCAGCGCGAACCAGAGTGGACACAGAGCGTTGCCTGCACTGGCGAATAGGTCGACCCGAGGTCGACCGAACCTCTGCCATACCTGCGCTGCTATCTGCGGGGCCAGGCCCCACTCCTCCCTGAGTGGGCCCCCCCTGGACATCAGGTCCGCCCCTGTGTTCCTGTCTCCGGGAACGTGGCGTGCCCTGAGAGACAGCAGATTCGCATCGGCCCAGATCAGGATGAGGGCCGCCAGGCGATGGAGAGCGGGGGATCTCGTGCCCCCCTGCCTGTTTACGTAGGCCACCACGGTGGTGTTGTCTGAACGCACCATCACGTGTCTTCCCTGTAACCGTGGTGCAAAGTGCAGTAGCACCCTGCGCACTGCCTCCATCTCCAGTATATTGATGTGCGGAGATGGATCTGACCAGAGCCCTCCCACGGAGCTCTGACCCAGAACCCCTCCCCACCCCTCGAGAGAGAGGCGTCCGTAAACACTTCCACGTGTGATACGGCGCTTTTGAGGGGAACCCCGTCCCTCATCACGCTCTGGGTGAGCCAGAAGCTGATGTCTGACCTCACCCTGGGGGGAACTACGAGCATGGTCGCTGCGTCCCGGGAGGGGTGAATCCTGAGACCGGAGAACCATCTCTGAAACCCTCTCATGTGGAGAAGACCCAGGCGTATAACTGCATGGGCCGCTGCCATCATCCCCAGGAGTGATCTGAGGCAACGAGCAGACACGCTGGGGGCAGTCAGCGCCCTGGTGGCCAGCTGTGAGAGGCTCTCCTGTCTGTCCCTGGACAAAGCTGCTCGGAACTCCACCGAGTCCAGCTGCAGACCGAGGTAGAGTGCGCGCTGGGTAGGCTGTAATCTGCTCTTCTCTCTGTTCACCACAAAGCCCAGCTGTTGTATGTGAGACAGAACCCGGAGCGTGTGTTCCAGGGCTACCTCCCTGGACTGAGCCAGGATTAACCAATCGTCGATGTAGGTTAAGATCCTGACCCCTGCTTGTCTGAGTGGCATCAGGGCTGCCTCCACGCATTTTGAGAAAGTGCGAGGAGCCAGAGCGTACCCGAACGGGAGGCGGCAGTACTCGTAGCACCTTTCTCCCACAGCGAAGCGCAGAAAGCGTCTGTGCTCTGGCACTATCGCAACGTGGAAATAAGCGTCTGTCAGATCGATGGAGGTCATCCAGTCTCCGGGTCTGACGCATTCCAGCAGCTGCTTCGTAGTGAGCATGCGGAACGGCCGTCTGGAGATGCACTGGTTGAGTGCGCGCAGATCCAGAATAGGGCGCACCCCCCCTGTCTTTTTGGGGACCAGAAAGTAAGGGGAGTACAGCCCTCTGTGAGCGTCCTGCGGGTCGACCTGGATCGCAGCACCTCTTAGTAATAGAGAGGCTACCTCCTTTTGGAGAGCCTCTTCTGTCCCATGTCGCCTGGAGTTTGCCGCTCGAACGCCCTGGAACGGCGGTGGTCTCCTCGCGAACTGTAGGGCATAACCTCTGCGTAACGTCCTGTCCAGCCAACACGTGTGGCGTAGTGGAACACCGGCTCCATACGCGGACACAGCGTGGGCGCCTGCCTCTTCCTCCCTCTCTGAGAAGACCCCACCGAGGTGAAGTCTTCCCTGGGTTGCGCGGGTTGCGGGGGGAATGGAGTCTCCATGGTCCTCGCCGCAGCCATGAAGAGGCGGGGCATGTGATCGAGCGGGAACCGGTCCGGCTCGCACAAGGAGGAAGCTTCGTCTAGCGTGATGAAGGAAGCCTGATCCTCCTCACGCTCCTCCTCCTCCACGACGCAGTCTCCCCACTCCCTGGGTGCGGGAGGCAGGTCTAGCGGCACATACTCCACCTCGAGTTCGTCCTCCTGGGAGGAACCCGGGTGAGCCACCGCGGAGTCCACAAACGCCATGCGGCGCTCTCTCTCCTCCCTGGGGAGAGAGAGGCACGCTTCGCAGCCAGCCTCGTCTCCCTGGTAGTGGGACACGCCCAGGCAAAGGAAGCACAGGCTGTGCTGGTCCTTGCGGGAGATCCTGGTCCTGCAGCTCCTGCACCGTCTTCGTCCGACGCCGGAGGGCGACGGGGTTCTCGGACGCGACGGGGAAGGAGACGACATCTTCAAGTAGTGAGTAGTTCTTCTCTCAGTGGCGCCAGAGTGAAAAGTGGTTGGTACGGGCCGTAGAGGGCTATTTATAGATGGGACTGGCAGGTGATTGGAGCATTTTGTTCTCTCTGGCGGGAAGCAAGATGCTTCAGGAGTATACCCATAGCGAAGCCTAAGGGGCGTTAGCACCATGATGTAGAACTGCAGGTAACTTCAGACAAGAGCTGACTCAATGTAAGAATCTATTTATGTGTTTAAAATTTGACTACAAATAAAATACATTGATTGTGGCGTGTGTTGCGTTCATGTTATAGAATTCTACTACAGTTGGAGGGCAGGTGCTGATACAACTCTCTGGGAAATCAGTATTTTTTTAAAGAACTGTTGAAAAAGAAAATGCTCAAATGTTTTCCTAGATTATTATTTGATGATTTGGTTCACAACTCTGTCAAATCATATTTTTTCTTATCTCTGAAATCTCTTTTTACTGGCTAACATCATCGTCATGCATACGCTTTTTAACATTGTCACCACTTCTCGACACTTTTGTGAAGAAACAAAAATGGATTATAGTTATGTTTTGACAAAGAAGATGTGGAACTTTGTGAGAGTTTTTGTTTTATGGGGATTAGCCCAGGGACATCAGCTATAATCCATGTTTAAACAGTTACCAGGAAGGATTTTTCAGCTGCCCTGCTTCACGTGGTAAACTATGGTCTCTTTAGAATCTTGTGATGTCACATGAACGCTGAGTCTAAAGTCAAATGCAGACAGTTTACTCACATCTGCTCTCGTACATGCTCCGGGACTGGGCCCAGATCTTGAAAGGGTCTGGTTTCTTCTGCAGCGTGAGTGTGCCATCGGTGCAGTCCTGTGGGGGAGGCAGACCGGGCAGAGGCTGTGTGGGTGCGGCTGGGGGTTGGGTCACCACCTCTCCGGGCATGGCAGAGGGCGGGTGGCTGGGGGAGTCTGTGTGGGCGCTGCGGTGGCTGCAGACACTGTGCTGGGAGCTGTTCTGGCTGTCCTTCCTCTCCAACTGGTGCTGGAAACAAACATTGAACAGATGTGAGTGAATTAGCATCAGTAACATGAAACATATATTTAAACTGGGCTTCCAAACTTTCAAAGCACAAAAATAATCAAAAATATAATTTATCAGTTTTCACATGCATTACACATGCATTACTTTGGCCTCTATCATGTATTAAACAACAAGGAGCAGGTTGTATGGTTTAATTGCAAAAGTCTAAAATGGCACAAAGTCAGAGTTTCTGACCTTGTGTACTAGATGGATCTATTATAATAACTGGATAGGGTATTACTAGCTTGGAGCTGAAGAACCCATGTGCTCAGGGGATTCTCGCGTTACTGCAGACTAAACAAGATTAAATTCACGTGGGCTACCCAGAAATTTTCCCCATAGAACTCAATTTAAACTAAAAAAGCTCGACTTCAGCTGACAGAGAACCTATAGCTTTCATAAAGGTTGGATATTGTGGGGATTTTGGTGTGCCTTCTCATCCTGAACTTTTTTTTTTCTTAAATCCTTTGGTTTTCTTTAAATCCACACTTTAGTGCCACAAACTCTGATCATTTATCTCCCGTTCTAGCTCCGCTCTGATCAGCAGCTCTGATTGGTCAGAGCGTGGCCGAGCCCCTCTGTGCACGTGCATGAGAGCCACACACGTATTTGGCGCAACGCATCATGGGAGATCATCCACTGCGCAGAACCGGGAGGACCAGACGATGCCCAAATATACGCGAGTTCCGCTAATATGTCAGCGACCGTGCCGGCACATGCGCCACTGAGCCCAAACCATTCATTTGAATACGGTGCCATCTTGGATCGCCGGGGCTTGGTGTACTATTATGTAAGCAGTCACTCCCCTTGGTATAACTACAACTAGTAAGATTGAGAGAGAACAGTTAAATGGGTCCAACCAGTGCTGGTCTTTGAAAAGCTTCACTTTCTATTTGCAGTTTGAAAAGTCACTGATATTTACTTTAAGACAATTAAAAGCTGGAAACCATCTACAGTGGAGTACAGTTTTACAACATGATTTGGTGATTGAGTTTCTCTTTATAAAAATTGTCAAAAATGGATTCATCTTGTTTGTCTACCAAGGTCTTGCAAGAATTCCAAATCGATTCAATTCAATTCAATTCATTTTTGTAAAGCCCTAAGTCACAGCCGTAGTCTCTGAGGACTTTACAAAGCCGTCGATTCGCCGACGCAGATCAGAGAATCAAACAGGTCAAACACAAGAAATGCAACGATAAAAAACACATAGAGCCTTTAGTCCATTAGGGACAGATGCCCAATGACCAATTTTAAAGTGAATGAAATTGGAGTTGTTGAATGAGCGCGTGTGTGAGCAATGTCGACGTCGTGATGTGAGTCAGTGCAAGAAAAATATTGACAAAAAAGGAAAAGGAGCCAAGGTCACGTTCTGTCGACACTCGAACAGAACGGTGACACGTCGTCATGGTTTCAAACTGCGATGGTTTGAAATGTGGAAGAATGTAATGAACAAAGGTATTGGATTTTTATGGACGTCAACATCTCCCACTCTAATGTGAAGAGCCTCCGCACGCGCCCCAACGGTAACAATAGCCTCAAACTCACATATTTTGCCGGTATTTTTTATTTCTTTCCTATTCAAATGACAGCAAAACATCTGTCTCCGTATGTGTGATGTGATCGACGTGGTTCTCTGCACGCCCTTTAGTTATGGGACTTTTTTTTGACAAACTTTGAATAGGGAAAAGCTCCTCAGACAGGTTATACTACTTATAATTTCACACAAAAAAGAAAAAAAGAGTTGGGGTACAAAACTGTCAGACCACAAACAAATGGGATCGTGTAATAAATCCCATCTAACTAACTATCCATCAATACTTTTTCAGAGGCATGTATCTATCAGCTCTCAACCCAAATGGTCAAATTAAAAACATTTCTTGTAAAACAGAATTTTACATTCACAAGACATATTCTATTGGGACAAACAATATAGATTATTTATGAAACAATAAAGTAAGGTGTCCCCAGTTTTAAGATGATAGATTTAAGATTTGACTGATTTGAGTTTATGATCTCAGTTACCGCACTATAGCTGGGCTGCGGAAATGACAAAGGTGGAGGTGTAGTTACCATAGCAACCCCCAAGCAAAAATGGCCAACGTTCCTCCACTTTACTCAATAATCATGAACTGATCATTAGAAATATGAGGCGATACCTTTATCGTTTTGAATTTATGTTCTGAATGTCCGGAAATGGCTTTTCTAAAATGTCGTTAAATTTGATGACACTGTGAAGGGATTTTGTGCTAAACCTCAGTATATCCTTTTTTATAACTATAAGAGGAGATAGTGATGATTCCAACTAGTTTGAACAAAAATGTGGCTGGGCTGGGGTACCTAACTATATTTTTCTTATATTGTTATTATTATTATGTTATATTATAATTCTTATATTATTAAATCAATTGAAAACATGTTGTGAGAAATAATCAGAAATCATGTTATCTCTCTTAGAAAAAAGAAAGAAGTGCCCTATAAGTCACTATTTGACTCTTTGGTCTGAGAGCTGATTGGCCGAGTGAGGGTGGTTCTCTCTTTTTCACTTTTCTGCTTGAAAACTTGGATCTAAAGATGTGACAGAGGCTGAAAATACTTACTTACTAATACTAGTGATGGAACTAAACTGTTTTGAGAGCGAGAGAAATTACACAAGTACATTTTTGGTACCCTAGTTTTACTTTACATGGATTTTAGTTCTATTTATTTCTATTTTGTGATAAGATTCTTGTTACATAAGACCTGCTGACATGCATAAATGGAGAGCTGTTTCTATGAATTTGAAAAGGCTTTAGGCGCTTAATCCTGCTTCTAATTAAGAGTAGCTTTGACTGGTAAATGAATATGCTTATTCTCTATAATAATACAGTGGTACTGTAGCACATGGCATATCGTGGCATCAATTAAGACTAATTCAACCATCGACTGTGTCTTTTATTTCCATTCCTTTGCTATTGAGAACCTTTTGACTGTAGCAGTAATATCACCCTATTGTTTGGAAGCTACTGGAGTCATTTGTATGTTATTTGCCTGCTGGGTGTGATTGCCCATTACAATCACTGTACTGCTTCTGTGAGAAATTACTCTGCTGGGACAATGCAATTACTGACAACTGAATAGTTTTCAAGCTCATGTGAATGACTCCCACATGTCTACTGCATGAAATAAAAGATCAAATAATAAGTTTTGTTTTAAGAACACGCTCCCTGCTTCAGCCTCAGGCAGTACATTGGATATCTCAATATTGATCAAACATAATTTAGTTAATTGTTCACACAAATTCATATTTAGGACCGTTGATTAGCTCTGCGCTCTTCCCTGCTCAGACCTTAGATGAAGTTAGCAATCAGTGGATTTTTATTTGAGTGGAAATGACAAGTAAGTAATTAAAACTAGTGCCACCTGCATGTAAAACTAGTGCCACCTGCATGTGAAAGCCAGAACCAATCAGACCTCTGAAGATAAGCAGGGCAGAACCTAGTTAGTACTGTGATGGGAGACCTCTGCATGGGAACACCAGGTGCCAGAGTGTGGCAGCTGTGATGTCCAGACTGTTGCAGTGTCCACTTTACCTACATCAGTAGGAGTCTGGTGAGTGGGTGCTGAGTGCGTTCTGAGGGTGATACCACAGATTAGCAGTCTCACTTCCCTCAGTCTGCCCCAGGGCAGTTGTGGCTACATTAGTAGTATTTCACTTCTATGGAGTGAAATAATGGTATGTGAAGCATCTTTGAATGTTCAAAAAGCACAATATCAAATGGATGCATCTACATTAATATCATTAATTAATCATGAATTAATTTTGTGTAAATAAAAACAAGGGAAAAACATGGTCAAAAGCCAATGAAAAGTCAATTTATGTTTTGTCTAGCAACAAAGAGCACAGACACCATGCTATATTTGTAATTGCATATGGATAAAAAGTGAATGTTAAACAAAAGGAAACCTGGGAGGAACCTTTCAATCATGGAAACTTAATCTGCTATATCTAAAGTCACAGTATGAAACCTTTTAGATGGAAATCAATAAAATAATAGTGTGGGGTTTTTATTCACATTGAATGATTTCACAGGACAGAAAATGTAAAAGATTTGGCCAAACTGTGAGCGGGCTTGCATCTCCACAGACCTGGCTCATATTTGTTCTGGAGCAAGACCTACTCCTAATCTTGTTCATTTGGTTGTAATTTCCCACCATATGGCATAAGAATTATTAAGGGGTACATAGGGTTTACTGTTACATACTGTTAAATAATAACAACATTGTCTCATGCAGTAAATCATGTACTCAGACATTCTCACCTCATTTTTACAAAAAATTAAGCATATTGTAAATTAATTGCAAACAGTAGCTACACCAACAATTACAACCAAAGTTACGTATAATTTATGGAGTGAAAATGTATGTTTTGAGGCTCATCTGGGACAAGAGATTGAAAACTGTGAAACTGTGTTTGTGTTGTATACATATGTTGTACTTGTATAAGATTGCAATGTAAACAGTATATTTTACTCATTGTGTGCCATTGACGCATTAATACGTCAAATGCCTTTTTCGCTATTTTCACGTTCCCAGATGTCTATTGTATCTAATACTGTATGTATGGGGATGACTTGAGACCATATGTTATCGAGCCAGCAGGTGGCAGCATTGCTCTCTGAATGGTTTGAAAACATGTAGGTGCACATGTTGTGCCTCTTTTTTCTCAACTTTCTGGTGATTTCTGGTGATTTCAGTAAAACTTCCCTCTACTCAACGGAGGATTACAGGGGAACGAAAAAAGCTATAAACAAAATTCTTTTTGCTGAGGAAAGTAGACATTCTTTTAAAATCTGGTGTCGGATTTCAGATAGTCATAGTACACAATATTCTGTGGGTCTTGAAAAATCAGTAAAAATCATCATAAATGGCTGGCACTGTGGGAGTACCTGTTCTGAAATAGGCTGGCATTCAATGAGTTTTAAAGAGGTAATATGTAATTGTAAATGTTGGACAATACGCATGGAAAAAACTTCTGTTATAAGCTTGAAACACACAAACTAAACTAAACCTTTCTTGGTGTTGCTCTATGAGGTCAATACATGAAAGTTGCCATTAAAACCTAACATTTAACAAAGTGTGTGGGTTAAGTCCAGTCAGGCCATAAACACAGTCTTTAGAGTTATACACTTACTGTCTTAAAATAGTGTTGCAGCAGCTTCCCTTATTAGTAGCTGTTACCAGTAGAATGAAAGTCCCAACAGTACACACCCTCCTCAGTTCCTGCACCCCCGAGGCTGTGTGATGTGAATAGGTAACCCCCCTCCCGGCCCTGGCTGATGCTGCTTCAAGCTAATCCCAAATATCCAGCCGACTGCAGCACAGGCTTTTAATGTCGATCAGAGCAGTGGGATCAGAGCCTTCTCCTTCCTCTGTGTGAACTCTGCACTAATGAGCGCGGCTGACTTTGTCCACTGGAAATGCTCCTTGCGTTACGTCCCGCTCCATACAAAGGTGACATAGGGTGACAGTCATTTAAAACTCCCTGGCATCTTCTCCATATTGATTATCTGATCAGGGCCAAAGTTATAAAAATAAATCGTGCTGCGTCTTCTTTGTTGTTGTGAGAGGACGGCTCCCAGTAGAGGCTGTTGCAATCACCTTTCAAAAGTTCTAAATGCTTCTAGGTCAGATGCAACTCTAAAACACCCCTTGTATATTGCACAAAAATACACATTTTGTTTGCTGAAGCTACTCTGTTATAGCTAACAGCCAATAGCACAATTGATCTATACAAGGCTAAGAGTCGGCCATGAGATATATACGGGATTAAATAGTGTAACGCAATACATAGCAATTATTGATTCATGTGTGAGTCTATTTATTGATTCACATTTACTGACACTGGTCATCATGCTATCCTCTGGACCAATGGCTCCAGTCTGTATGTTAGATTTTTGTGATGGCTTGATTCTCTAATCTGTGGCAAATCAACAATTGTGTAAGATGCTATAAAACTATATTTGAAATCGTATTGAGTTGTAAGGTTGTGTTTTTTGGATCTGAATCCGAATACTCCAGCTAGAATCAATAAAGTCCATATCTATCTATGAATGAAATCTTTATGATTCGACTAGACATGATGCCTGTTGATACACAAGATCCAATTAGTCCTATTGTGTGAGTGAGTGTGTGTGCATCATTTTGAAGAATGACTGCTCAAACAACAAACAATACAGCTTTGCATTCAATTTTGAAACACATTGAACTTGAACATACTCAAAGCTTGTGCTCTGCTACACATCATCTAAATAATATATCTCCTATAGGCTGCATTTGCACATGTTTTATTTCTTCAATTTCTTCTTCTTCAAATGTCATGAAGCCACAACAGAGAAGGCAGATATAACAAGCGCTATAAGAAGACAAACTTGAAACGCCTGGAGCAGTGACAGGAGTGAGAACAGAAGTAGCAGATGCGCATCACAGAACTATCATATCTTTTTTTGCCTTTGTTCTTAATATAGCCCTGGCTCTTTTCACCAGAGTGTAGCCAACATGCGCTAATACTAAGACATCAGTAAGATAGAAAATTCAGTACTCACCACCAGCTTCGGACTCCTCTTGGCTGGCACCACTCCTGCAAAGCATCGGCAGAGAGACAGAGAGAGCATTAATGACCGGCTCTTCCTGCTGTCCCCCCCCCAAAAAAACTCCCCCTCCCGCTGTATCCGAGAGCGGACAGCCTCCTCTCCTCGCACGCTTCTGCTGCAGCGGGCTCCCCCTTTGCCTCCTGCCGCTCCCCAGCACAACAACAGCGAGGTGTGCGCGGAAAGTCGCTAATCTCGCAACGATCTCCACCCCCCTCCCGCTGGCTCCGAAGATCTCAAACCCAAGCCTCTGATCTCAGGTTGACCAAAAAAAAAAAAAAGTGTCCGCTGGTCCTTCAAGAGCTACAGGTTCTCGGCTTCCTCCACCCTTCAAATCACAGCCGCTCCGAATACGACATATTGAGAAGATTTTTATTATTCTAGAGCACAGCGATCACCTCTCAGGGCTTACATTGAGAAGCTGATGCTGCTTGCTCCGTGCCTATTCCCTGTTCCCTCCCCCTACTCTCCTCCTTTCAACACCCTAGCACTATCTGTCTCCATCTCTCCAACATCATACATAAATATCTCCCGTATCGCACCAGTTCTAAACACCAAATCATCACTGGATCATTCCCTAAGACTAAAATGTGACGCCCAAATCTGAGTTTAAAAAGATAGACCCAGATCGTAAGCATACCGTCAGCACCACAGTTCGTTAATTCATCGTTTTTCATGTGGTGTATGTATTTGCAGCCTAATTATTTCCTGTACAAAACACAACTCCAAAAAAGCATCTTTCTTTTGCAGCTGCCACTTACTCCTGTGTGGTGGTAAAAATAGACAAAATGAATAAATGAATGACAGAACGAGGAGGTAGAGTAGAAGTTGAATACACAAGCAGCAACCTATATTTCATTGAGAATTCTTTTGCAAAAATGCGTGAGAGGAATGTATTGGGATAATAATTGTGCATCATGGCGTATTAACAGGATGCCATGACAAAATTGCAGCTGTATTTTTTTGTGCAACATCGGCAAAAAATCATTAAATGTTAAAACTCAGTGTTGCTACCAAGCCCTCCCCTCTCTCTTTCTCTCTTACCACGATTTATAATTCATCCCGCTCTTGTTTTCCGTCCTTCCTTGCCTCCTCTCTGCTCCCAGATTATAGACTCTTGAAATAAAGAAGCCAACCCGGAGTCCCCGTGTTGAGAAATATTGTGAATTGACAAAAGAGCAAGCAGCAGAAAGTCGCATACCAATATTTTTTGAACAGCAGGTGGCCTGACCCTGAAAGCCCAAAATTATACAGAAGGCTGAGTTTCACTTTGAAACAACCTAACAATCTTCTCACTGGTAATGCGGTCATAATTGGCATCACACATTACTATTAATCAAATTGAGGTATAGCCATATGCTTAACGCTTTTAATAAGGCATTTAAGGATTATAAATATTTATAACTCCAAATGACTGCGACCCCTGAATTGAACAAACCCGCCTGTGTCAGCAACCCGTCTCTAAACACATTACGTTGCAAAGGAAATTGTATGCACGCTTTAAAATACATCTTTGTAAGCTAAGGTGAAAGTGATGTGTACGCGTAATAATCAAATCCGAGCGAATGCAACATTTATGAGCAACTGTTGAAAGAAATATGGGAATCACGTGTCCCTGGCCAACACGCACAGTATCTACAATTGTATGCTTGGTATAGGTTAGCAAGAGGAGTGAAGACAAAGTGGGAGACCGCCTCCTGCTGGATACATTGAATATCTAGCACTTTCTCAAATCAAAAGTGCTTGAATATGTTGGATGTTCCCATAAAAGCCATAAGGTTGGTTTTCTATTGTATTTCCTCATCTCTGCTCATTCGCATAAACAAAACCACATTGAAATTCAACCTCCACGCCGTAATCCAAGTATTTTCATATCGCTGAAGCAGGAAAATGCCACTAAATCCCATCCCCATATCCTTAACTGCAGCTCCATTGATAGAACTATGATCCTTGCGTTATTATTGAACAGGCTTCTACCAAACAGTCTCTATTGTCATTCAAATAAGAAGGTAAAGGCATCACATATGCAGCCATTGCTCTATAGACTTTGACATTATGACTACCTGCTAAATATGTAACGGCACATCCCATTGCAGCATACTGTGACTCTTTTTTTGAAGCCAGGGTAACTTTTCTACCACATATGGTATTTTTTACATGTTTCTCTCAGTTCTTGGTCATTTTAACCACATTTTTGGAAAGCACTTGAAAGACAGAGAATACAATTACAAAACATCTGGTCCCAGTCTCTGTGTGACCTGCTCATCAGATGGAGCCTTGAGACGCGTTCAAAGGAATCTCGAAACTTTGCCTTAGCACTTGAACTTTTGAATAGAAAGTTTGAAAGTAATATTGCTATCATACAGACTGTTTAAGAACACTTTTGGCAAATGTAATCACGCAACGTTGTGTTTACTTTGAGCATTTGATTTCCACACAGGCTCAACTGCAGCCGCACAAGTCATTTCATTTCAGAGCAATTAAATGCACCATGCTTCCTGCTTCTTGACTCGCGTAACGAGAAACAAACAAAACAATGAAATATTAGCGACAAAGGATTGTGCGTTCATGAAAATGTAGAGTTATGTTTAGGGTGCTCATACTTTTGCACTGGCTTTAAATTTACATTTTAGATAAAGCCTTTTATTCTGATTTTGTTGTTTTATTGATGTGTTTGCCTACACTGTGTTTTTGTGAGCGCCAGATACTTTTCAAATTGTGAAGAGAAAGAGAAACTTAATGAAGACAAACACTGGTTACGAGTCGCAGCTTCTTGATTGGTCAAAATAAATGCAATTCCTTGAGGCCCCTCGCTATTGGTTTAACCGTATTCCTCCAGCAAATCTTATTGGTTGTAATTGAGGGGAGGGACCAGTTTAAATATATTATTGTTGAAAAAGACCGGTGTCCCATGGTTAAACAGAAGCATTCTTTTAAAAATGAAATCTAATCCATCTTTAAAAGTGCTTATACACAAATACATTTGGCTTGGCTTGATGACGGAGCAGCCTACATGTACTTTTCTATTACAAGCGTGGCATTTCCCTGCGCTCTTAAATGCATCTGCTGGCCTCTCAGTAGTACCCAGTTAATACATGAGTAGAAATGGTTCGATCCATTTACATCAAAAGGACTGGTCTTTCCAACCCGGGTTTGCTCAATGAAAAATAAATTGGACTCTGCAAGGTATCTGGTTTTGATTCTGCTTTGTAAAACACTTTAGCCTGTATAAAATATGAACTTTTGTCTTTAGTTTCTGCCATGTCAGTAATGCTCTTAACAGCAGGCAATGGAAGAACCAGCTTTTCTCTCTGCTGCCAATATTGCAAGCACGGCAGTGGTCACACCTTGGATATCTTACGGAGAACTGTGTGTAAGATCTCTTTGTGTGGGTGGGTGCAGGGTACAAACAGCAGGCGTCATTGGTTGTTTAATAGGGACAGTGGGCGTTTGGTTGTGCAGCAGAAGGTTTTCAGGGTTTTTCAAACGGAGTGGCGCTACTGCAAAGCGTGGCCTTGGACCGTGGCTCCGACTTACCCACACAAAGTCATTCCATAGCAACTCGTCACTGTGGCTTCTCTTGAGATTCTAGCAGAGATTTTGGTGTACAGTAATGTTTAGGGTGCGGCCGATGTATTTCTATTGTTCTTTTGCTTCAAACTAATCCAGATTTTTGCATTCTCTTCTCCAACACTTTGACAAAGCATTCGTAGCATTCAGACTTATCACAGCTTTAAACAAGTTATGATTGTTTTTTCTTATTTTTAAATCTAATCATTCATGTTTGAGTCTCTTTACTCTGTGACACTAAAGACAATGGGCCTCATTCACGAATAACTTCGTAAGAAACTACTCAACTTTCTTCTCAAGTTGTCCTTAAGTAGATTTCTAAGAAGTCCCTACGTGGGATTCATCAACGCACTCGTAAGGCGCTGAATTGTTCGCAGCTGTTCTCTCAGATTGATGAATCCCATTTCCTCGTAAGTACAGCGCGCGTGCCAGGTGCTTCATTAGCATAGGTACTTAGCATAAGTAACCGCCCACTAATGCCCATATAAGGGACTGCAGGGCCGTGTGCAGACGCCAGAGGAAACAGCAACAGGCCTAAAGCAACAGGCCACGGAGCAAAAGAGTCACCCTTTTTTCTTCTTTTACCAGACTGAGAATAAAGTTATAAAATGTTGACTTAAAAGTCGAAATATTATGATAATAAAGTCGAACTAGCAAAATTATGAGATTAATCTAAGAATATGATGAGATTAATCTCAAAATGTTATGAGCTTAATTTAAAAATATATTATGTATTATTTTAAAGATGAATCTCAAAATGTTTTGAGATTAATCTCAAAATATTTTGGACCCTGGGAGGAGATCCAGCGCGGACCAGCGCTGAGACCAATGCAGACCCGAGGAGAGACTGGAGTGACCAGCACACAGAAACCAGCGCGGACCTATAGGAGAGACCGCATAGACTGGAGTGACCTGACTGGAGAGACCGGTGCGCAGAGACCAGCGCGGACCGAAGATAGACCGCATAGACCAGACTTGAGAGACCAGCGCGGACCCGTATGGATCCAGGAGCATGCAGCACGGACCCGTATGGAGAGAGACCAGTGCAGACCCGTATATGGGAGAGACCAGTGCAGACCCGTCTAGATCCATGGGAGAGACCAGTGCAGACCCGTCTAGATCCATGGGAGAGACCAGTGCAGACCCGTATAGATCCATGGGAGAGACCAGCGCAGACCCGTATAGATCCATGGGAGAGACCAGTGCAGACCCGTATAGATCCATGGGAGACACCAGCGCAGACCCGTATAGATCCATGGGAGAGACCAGCGCAGAGACAGCGCGGACCCAGTAACCTCCTGCAGCAGCAGTATATATGCCGTTGTTCTGTGGCCCGTGGATAAAGAAATGCCCCCTATAAATAGGAAGGGGTCACTAATACACGGCAAGATTTCCAATGTATTTGATAAAGCGTTGGCAC